TGTTCTTTGAATTGTGAAAGCTTGAAGACTATGTACTTAAGATGACTGATATTATCCATGGTAGTCTTCGCTTTGTCGAACTTGTATGAATGGAATTCTAGCAAGAGCTTTTGCTTTTGATGGGTAGTGTCCCTTCTATAAATGCTTACCAATGTGTTATACATTTCTTTTGATGTACTGCATGCCATAATGTGAGACAAAATGGACTTGTCCAGAGTTCGCACAATGATATATTGGGCTTCATTATCCTTGGCAATCCAGGCATTTCTGGCCTTGACTTGATCTGGCTTTGTTTCATCAGCATCAGGCTTAGTTTCAGTTCCAGATACAATACCCCACTGTTGCTTTGCCTTAAATAAAATGGTAATAGAGAAATTCCATATTTCAAAGGTGTCTTGTCCATTCAATATTTGGATATTGCTCAATTCATGCTCTTTGGTCGTCATTTTTTGGGTTAGCACACCGGCACTCAGATGACCGTGAACACTTTTAAAGAATCACCAGAATACTTCCACTAGGGTTACATTCACAACACTCGAGGCAGCTGGGCCCATAACCTGTTTGAATATTGATTTATTCTGGCTTTGAGCGTGACTCCTTTTCTTTTACTTATAGGAAAATGACTGAGAGTTTTATTGACATTTTTACATTTTTATTTATTTTAGACAAAAGTGACAGTAGTGCATGACAAGCATATGACATCACAGCATGACCACCTTATATTTTATGTTGTCTTAAAAAACGGTAGACACTGTTTAATTTTTAACAGCATCCTTTGATTTCCTCCCATCTCTTTAGGAATTGAGCATGGGTGTAACGTTTGGCTAGTTCCGTAATTGTCGAAGTCATCATGCCGTAGGTGCCACTGGGTCCTAAAATTCTTAGTCCATCCGCTTCCTTGGCTCAAGAGTTGGCAATGCGATTACCTTTACTCCTGTCGTGCCCTTAATTCCACCTCAGGATAGATAATGTTATTATCTACCGAGGCTTTGGCTAAATCTTGGTGGCACTCTAGTACTAGCCCTGAGGTAACACGTCTGTTCTAGGCTAATAGGGCTTGTCTGCTATCAGTGCAGATTGTTAAGTTTTTGCCAGAAATTCCTTTCCTGGTTATTTCTTTTGTGGCGATTGAGATACCAGCCAGTTCTGTTTGAACCACGCTGGTATTTTTTTCCATTCCCCACCTAATCCTTAGGCTTAGTGATCTGGAGTGTACCCCACATCCTGAGCCTTCTTTGGTTTTCGAGCCGTCTGTATATATGCGTAATGCATTTGTAGCATCTGACTCTGTGTTCTGTTTTATTTGTATTTTGTAAGGTTTATTAAACAAAAACCTGGGTTCAATTGCATCACTGGTTGCCTGCAGCAGAAGTTGCTCAGCCTCAATTGACTCATTCCTACTTCGAAGTTTACACCAGTCATGCGCAATTGTAACAACGCAACCTCCTGTGATGTTTAAACAAGCCAATAGTTGTATTTGATATAATTTTTGGATGGCCCCAGGGGGGGATCAATCTCCCTTAATCCCCCCTGGCTACGGCCTTGGCTACCAGAGAGTAGCACATCTCTATTGAGACGCCCGAAGATGCTATTGTATATCGAAACACGTGCCGCGGTTTTGTAAACTTTCAAGTGGAAATTTCACATTGAAGTGTGTTTTTTGAATACATCTATATTCATATTTAACTACAATCTAGGAAAAGCGTTCGTGGACTGTTCAAAACATACGGTGAATGTTCAATTTTCGCGGGCTACGTAATTTCGATTAGCGATTTTTAATTAATTTTTTTATGTTGGTGCACTCATCTCGAACATATGTTTACAGTTTCAGCTGTTAAGCATGTTTAGTTTTTTGGAGAGAGGCATAAAAGATAGAAGTGTTTTGCGTTATGCTATCGTTATGCTGTCGAAATGTTATGCTATCGAAAAAAAAGTTTCAAAGAATTTGCATGAAATTTTGTATTAAAAATGAAATTAAGTGCTCAAAAACACTTGAAATGATTACAGTGGCAAACGGTGACTGTACTCAGAAAAATGTTTCTAAGTGGTACAAGCTGGACGCCCCAGCACACCATAATCTAAGAAAATGTAGAGGAAGTGAAAAAAATGTTTAAGGAGAATCGTCGAATCACTATTAGAGAAGTTGCTGAGGATGCGTGTGGCAGCGAAGTTCGTTTCAAAATTGCTGAATTCTGACTAAAAAACCGCATGAGCATCGCTCAGGAATTGTTGAATGACGTCATCGACGATCCAGATTTGCCTAAAAGGGTCATAACTGGTGACGAATCATGGGTATATGGTTATGACATCGAAACCAAAGTTCAATCGTCCATTTTGAATATTCGTCGCAAGTAACTTCCAGAAATTAATTTCATTTAGTCGGGACGTCCACTGAAAGACCGGTTTCGGAGTACTAGCTCCTCGTCAGTACCAGAAGGGCCATTTCAGTATATGTTTGTGGAGTTGTTTCCCGACTTTGTAAGTGGCACAGTGCTTCATTCTAATGAATCAATTGCAGATAGCGCTTATGACTAGTTGGAATTGAGTTTGTTATTTGTTAGTTCGGGTTACTCAGATGGTTCACTCCGACTGAAATGACCCTCCCGGTACTGACGAGAAGCTAGCACTCCGAAACCGGTCTATTGGTGGTCGTCTCGATCAAATGAAATTGATTTCTGCTTTTCATGCATAGGAAATTGCTTGCGACGAATCTTTCAAATGGAAGACGTTGCACAGGTGCCTGATGGTTTCATTTCAGCTTTCTGCGTGGCATAAACTAGGTTAGTTGTTGTTTTTCCGTTGGGTATCTGCCATACGTATCTGCAAAGTCGTAGGTTCACATGAGAGGCAAAGGTAAAGTGTTTTCACCTAAACTTGAGCATGATATATATTTTTAATCCTATCTATAAATTTAAATAAAACAAAGTGTGTGATATATCATCGAAATTTTGTTTTCTTTTGAAATATCGTTGATTCCCTAATATATGGGATATAAATACGTTCAAATGTGCGCCACCGCTCCTCTGGAGCGATGGAGCGCATGCGAAACATCCAATTTTCCATTACTCTGGCGCATAAATCAAGCTAAATTTGACCGATGGCATGGGTTATGTTGGCTTTGAGGACCACTGTGGTTTATGGCTTATTGGCATATAGCTGAGACTAGAGAAAACTCCACAAGTCGCAGGATCTCGGCGGCCAGTTCACATCACCTTCACGTGAGATGACCAAGCCCTCAAATCGCTCGTGCAGAATATTCAATGTGGCATGAGCTGTGTGGCACGTATCGTAGTTCTGATGAAATCACATGTCGTTGGTGTCCAGATCATCTAATTCAAGCCAAAAGAAGTTGGTAATCATCGACCTGTAGTGCTCGCCGTTGACAGTGATGGCCTGGACAACGTCGTTCCCGAAGAAATATGGACCGATGACTCTACCAGCCCAAAATACACACCAAACAGTGACTTTTTTGGGATGTATTGGACGCTCTTGAATCCTATGTGGATTGGTATCGTTCCAAATATGACAATTTTGTTTGATCACGTACCCATTTATTCAGAAATGGGCCTTATCGCTGAAGATGATTAGGGTCAGTTGCCAACTGCTCCAGAGCCTATTCAGTGAACACACATCTTTGTCTATGCTTGTTTACCTTCAGTTGCTGGCTCAGTTGAATTTTGTACGGGTGCAGACCCAAGTCACGACTCAAAATTCAAGTTGTGGTCTGCGAAAGGCCGAGTTCTTGTGAGCGACACGAAATAAACTCACTCGTATTCTCCTGCACACTCTCACAGACAGCGGCGATGTTTTTGGCAGATCTTGTGTTTCGTCGACGTACGGGTGTTAGTCGATCGTTTACTGAACCAGTGGTCGTAGATTTATTCACCACATTGCGAATACTCCTCTCGGTAGGATGATTATGGTGACCGTAAAATGGGCGAAGCGCAAAGTACGTTGTCTGAAGAGAACACTCATTTTGATAAAACAATTTTATTTATTTGCACGTGTTGTTAATGCAAGGCGAAGAGCAGGCGTCTGTCATTGAGTTCGGTGACGTTGCGTTATGATAAATTAGCATTTCTGTTATGTACGCATTCTCGCTGATGATATCTTTATTATTTGGCGTTCCTGTTCGTTCCAATACCTTTCGTGTTTCATTTTTGAATTTTAACTTTTCTCTGATGTTTCCGTTCTATCATTCAAAATTTTGTTAGTTTGGTTTTTTGGCGAAATGGTATTATGTTTTTAAAGCAATGATATTGTTTATTGTTTCTTTCACCTTCTTTTATGATGATGTGCTATATGAATTTGTAATTTATGACTATATATTTTCTGATGGAATACGTTATGAAGTTGTAACATTAAGATAATTTCAGTTTCTGTCTTGTAACTTTATGATTAAGAGATTTTCTTATTTTGTTTTGTTTCTGTACAGTGTATTTCTTCAATAAGCAAATTCTATGTTGTCAATTATGACAATATATGTGTCCCCTTGAAGTTCTATACAGTGCTTTTCTACACAAATGGATTCAATATAATTGGGATTACTTTCTTGAATGAAACACTCGAATATGGTGAATTTTTTTTTGAATACTTTGATTTTTTTTTGGGTATTTTCAAGATGTATTATCTATACTTTTTTAATGTTACATAAAATTTGGAAGAAAGATTTTGATAAAGGTTTGTCATTTTTTCTAACCCTATAGAACACTGGTCCTTTATTCTATTGTTATCTTATTTGATGTGCTTCTCACCGCCAGAATTCCTCCTTTGTGTGGTCTTTTGAGAGTTCACAGAAAAAATCTTTGTGTGGGAAAGAGATATTTGGCAACCTTTTTCATATGTACATCATTTGTCTTTAATTCCCTTGTGATTAATTCAGCTTTCAAATCATCAACTCTCAATCATTTCCTTTTTTTTTAGAAAAAGTAAGGAGAGTTCTATGGATAATGATTTTTTGTGCCAACATAAGAAAACTGAGCTTATCAAGTTTTCCACTCGAAGTGTACAAAGAGGATGCTGCATAAGTAAAATAGTCTTCGAAAAAATACATATTCAATTGAATAATCACTTTCATTTTAGAACACTCACCTGATCACTGCAAATTCCAAGGAATAGATATGGAGTCGGGACAAGTGCTATTTGTAAGTGCATGGATTTTCCAGAATATAAAGGATATTCAACAAGTGAAGAAACAAATAAATAGTATCGAGCAAGAATTGAATTATTTGACAACACTGAAACACCCGAATTTGACTTGTTACTTTGGTATTAAACATCAAGTTTTTAAAAATAGCGTCACTGTGTATTTGTTAGAAGAATTTGTTTCTGGTAGTGTATTCAAATTGATAACAAACTTTTTTCATGATTTGTTTCAATTTCTCAGGTTTAAACTTTTCATCGCTTTTTTTATGTCGAGATAGTAAAGGTGAGGTAAATTTTCTAAAGCACATAGCACGAGGAGTCGTTACCGCATTGGATTATCTTCACAGAAATAAGGTTGTTCATAAGGATATCAAAGAGACATCTGTATATCTTTCTGACAATGGTGAGAGATATAACTGAAACTATCATTTTGTATTTTCTTGTTGGTGCTTTCAAAGTTTTGATGACAGAAATGGTGGGAATTTTCAAGGTCATTGTACGCCTCCACTTGTGTCAACAAACTTTTAGAAACAGTGACCACGTTTACACGGCATCTTGAAGAAGGATTTCTA